TGTTTCTGCTGCTCGCGAACTCGCGGCGATCAATTAGCGAATATGACAAAACGAATGCCATCTAAATGATACAGACATCAAAATTTGGAATAATGAAATGGCGATAGAGATTGCGTGGATTATTTGGCAGAAATATTTCGCTTTGAAAATAATTAAAAAATATTTGTAAATAATTGTCTTGCAAGTGTTTTAAAAAAAAACTTGAAATGTCGCATTTTGGCATTGATAATAATATAATAAAAAATAAAAGTATAATAATATGCATAAAAAATATAAAGAATAAAATTTAGAAATATCATTATGTCAGAGATACACTAAATTCATAGAAATTACAGGCTTCAGATCTTTCGGTATTGTAATTTCACGTTTATATGATATACTAATGATTATGATAAACCTAATCTAAAAAGCCTAAAAAAATTCCACAAATTATACGATATTCTGAGGGAGAACAATTACACAGCGTTAACAAATAAATCTGTTAATTTAATTCAATAATGTGCCTCTCTCTGATTATCTTTTATTATAGAAAATATTTACGGAGAAATATCTAGCAATCCTGAACATTAAAAAGCAAATATAATAAAGATTTACATTTACATTTTTTCAAATACTTCAATATTCCTTTTCAAATATTTATTATTGTACGTATGATTTATTATTTCTGTATTCTTTTGTTCATTTTATATTTACATTTCATCGGAACTGAATCAAATATAAAAATTCTACTTTTATGTTACTAAATAACGCAAATTAACAGAAAATTAACAGAAACGTACTTATTAGAATTACATTTGCGAATATGAAAATCCTTAATCCATCATTTCCATAATCGACGAAGAAATTCGATTTAGTGTTCACGCGTGTTCACATTGAATAAAATCAGGCTACTACATCGTGAATATTTATTCGAATCTGCGCTGTGTCGCACACACAGAAGTATCTGTTATGAATATTTATACAAATCCGCGGTAAAAATTCGGAGTAATTGATTATTGATTAGAGGGCACACGAGATTCACTTTTCTAAACGAGAATGCACAAACACATCTCTTTCATATTGTATTTTTTTCGCTCCTTCGCGGAAGAGTGATTTTCCGACTTCTTAAAGTTTTATAAAAATAATTTTCATTCCTTTCTCTTCAATTTTATGCACAATAAAACGTCATGGAGTATTTTATTTTTAACTTGATTTTTAACTTTTTATCATTTATTAATACTTTGTGGTGGCACATTCGTTCGAAAGGTTTAGGATAATAAGATCGAAAATTTAAGATTGTTATAAATACAAACGCTTTGAAGAAACGCAGGAATTTAAAGCAATTTTTTTTTCTTAATTAAAATTTTAGAGTCAGATTTTAGAGCCAAAAAATATAAAATTTCTTATTTTAAATTATTTAGAGAGGACACATTTTTACGAAACAGTGTATACCACAGAGGCAGTTGCAAAATATTTTTCATTTCAGCTGTTCCTACATAAACACTTGTATCGTGCAAACACAGTGTTTTTCCGACGATGGCAGAAATTTTTCAATTTCTTTCTCAATTATCCTCTGCCAAAACTTCATGATTCTTATTCATTTTTATTTCCTCTATAAAACGTACTATCGTTGCATAATTTCATTATAATTATCAAGCTAATTTGATAACATAAATTTATATGAAACGAAGTTTTATTTCATTTTATATACTGTCATCAATATTTTCAAACCGAGTTCATTAAAATATTTGTTTGATCTTAATTTTACTCTATTTCAATGAAAAGCAAGATTTTCAATGATTTGATATCTACCTCGGGAATTATATAGTTATTGATTATTAAGGAGCTTGTATCTACTTAATATAATATAATGTATATGTATATATAAAAAGATGTCTTATGATTAGAATTAATTATGATTAGAATTTCGCTTTGAAGTTACACGATGTTATAGATCCATTGAATTTGGCAAAGTTCATGCAATTTACATTCGTGTCTGAAAGAAAGTTTGAAAGGAACTTAGAACTTCTTTAATCACAGAAAATAAGCCAGAGAACGCAGCAGTTGGATGATATCATGATTCAATTCCAGTTTAAAATATTTCAATACCATTTTACGAAGACCCACTAATTAAGACGTCTTAAGCAGACTTTAATTACGAGTATGCGGCACTCTCGAAACATTCTTTGAAAGTTTCTCAAACTTTGCTGAACGTCTGCGAGTGTCAGATATCAACGGACACACGTTGATAAACAACCCGAAGGCATTTATTATATCTCCGCACGGATTGCTTCAAAAATTCTTGAAATTCAGCGTCTTTCCCAGCCGGAGTTCAATTTATACCAGGCTGTTCGATAGTATTAACTTTTCCCTTCGTCGACAATTTTTATCGTCCCAACCACCAATTTGTCGCTCAGTAACCGTTTCTCTAATTTAATCTGTAGTTCGCAGCTTCTGCTATTTTGTAAATTTGGATAAATCTTTATTTTTCAGATATTCTCTGTTAAAAAATAATATGAATTAAATATGAGAAATTTAAATTTGATTATATTGTATTATTCTAAGAATTTATTGTTCTCGACAAATGAAGATAATCTTCAATAATGATCGAAAATATAAATAACATTGTCGGTTCGATTAGAATAGTACAAGATTTATACCAGACAGATTGGGACATGTTGGGAATTTTGAACTTTTCCAAAATTGTTCAGAATGCAATATAAAAATATACATAAAGCAAATCAGAATGCATAATGCTTTTCTACGTATTCGTAAAAATATGAATCTGTATAAAAATTCGCAGTCGGATAATAACTGACAGAAGAGCAACTTTAAAACTCTACTTTATAGTACCCCGTACTACCAAAATTGTTCTGTCATTTGATTTTGAGACTGATCATATTTTTCTACCCTTCTCATGATGTATTTTACTAATTCATAATAATTTATTTCGTAATACTTCTCAAAAATATAGCTTCCCACAATAATTAAATATTGCTTACCTTAATAGAAATTTAATTATAAAAACTTTAATTTATCGTTTAATAATCGATAATTAACTCGCAACCACTTTAAATATAAGTCACGACATCCAACAGAATTTTCACAAATTCTTTCTATTAATTTTATATTTAAACGCAGTCTCTCAGATTTAACAATAAACGATATTCCTTTATAATAAATTCTCCGAAAAGTGAATTTTAAAAAGAGAAGGTTTTACTGTTATTTATTTCGCAATTTCAATTGCGACATCGACAATTTTATCACGACACAAGTGAATTAGCATATGAAAATTTTTGCTCTGACACAGATTCTGTTCGACATTGTAAAACAATAAAATCCAATTACGACGTACGTCGATTTCGAGAATATACTACAAACAACAAAAACAAAGAAAGGAAAAATTGAAATACAATCGTATCATCAATACTACAACGTTGAGTAACAATCAGCGTGTGTTAAATTGCGTCACGATTGCAGTAAAGCGTTAATTTCGTCCGTATAACATTAATACGCAATGTATTTTTACAATAAGTTGATACCAATACACGAAATACCTATGTCTGATGAAACAAGTAAAATAACTGACATCCTTTCTCATTAAAAGTATCCTTTCCCGTGAATTGCAAGCAAATTATTTTCAATTGTACTTCAGTGTACGATATTACGTGGAGAAACAGAAAGACACTGCCATATTTCATTGTACATAATTAAAATGTTCGTAACGGCCTATAATAATATTATAATAATATATTGTAACCTTACATATTATTATTATACATTATTAATATGATAACGCGTGTTATTTATATATTATTGCAATCACAATATGTATATTATTATGATGCTCAAGCATAATTTTGTGACTGATGCGACACAAACCATTAAAATTTGAAAAGAGGAATTTTTATTTTAAAAATAAGAGTCTACTATAATTTTCTTTTCTTAAAGATAGAAAATTGCATTCGTTTTCGGAATAATATTTAACAACATTAAACCTGAAGCGAAATAACATGCAACAGTAATTTTAATTTTAATTTGTTTCGAGCTTCCAATTACTGACGTAGTAACAATAAGCTTGTTCTCCAAGTCAATACCTATTATTTATATAATTAATTCCCGACTACATTTCTATTGTCCATGGACAATGCATAAAAGCCAGTGCACATATGAAACATAATATTACGGAGTTACTACTTGCGAATTTAATTCGCAAGTATACAAGAAACGAATATGTACAAGAACGACGCAGTTCTATCTTATACGAGACAATTACGCTTGTATTTTCAAGCAGAGATATGCTTTCAAAGGATCGTTTTCGACTTTAAAGGATTGTTTTATTATCAATTTTAATTGACGAGTCAAAGAGACACGACCTACTTGTTAATTCGATTTCATCCACGATAGCACACACAGAAAATATCCTATTTGTAACATATAATTCTCTTTAACATATTGGTAATAAAATATGTAATTCTCAATTACATCGCAATTTTTAAGTTAAATTATTGGATTATTACCGCTGATTTATAACTTCAGAAGAAATTTGGTCTGTATTGCTCTATCTAATATAGATGACACAATTTGAAGGTGATTAGGAAAGATGAAATGTTGAACTTGAAATATGTTATGAAGAGAACAGAAGACACAGGCAGAATGAATTCAGTTGAGTCAATTAATTTTTAGGAAGAAATAAATAGAAAAATTCCAGAGAAATGAGAACATGAACAGCACATTATGAAAAATACATTATAAGACTGTCGTATTTTTTATTGAAGTTCTACAGAAGCTTCAGAAGCCTACAATTAAATACGATAAAATTATGATCTTTTGAAAATATTCTTTTATTTCTGATACTCAGATATAGTGAATTACAATATTCTCTGCATCATTCTACAACTTACTGCATCAATTTAAATCGAAATTTTACTATGGAGAAACACGAGTGAACAGAACTAATTTGCATGTAAATTCGAATTACTTTTATTTCATTTTTACACATATAAGATAGGAAATTAAGTAGAGTTGAATTTAACGCGTTGAAAAAGGAATTTTCGTGAAAATAATTCGTAAAGCAGTCCTAAAATAATAGTCCCCTCCATAGGAAGTAATTTTTCTCGTGCCTCAAAAAAAATTAACAATTTCTTTGTAGTACACATTTACTCTGATCATTTCTAAGATAATTTGGTGCACATTCGCAGCCTGGAACGCATATCTGAAATATAAAAACGATTTAACATTTAACTCACTGTTGTTTTCGATACAAGTAATCCGTTATTGTTATTAAAAATTGTTATGCAATACCAAAACAATACGTTATGTTATACGAGATGTTTTGTACAATTCTTCGAGGTATTTTCACTTTCACATCAGCTTATCGACAACATTTACAACAGTTTTAATAGAATTTAAACACTAACCTCAATGCAAAATTCGGGATTAGGATTCTCGCAAGTAGGTGGACAAGCAGTACCGCAGTCATTCCACACTTCATTAGGTGGACAACCCGCCAGTATTACTGTTTTTTGAACGTCAAATGTTAGAAAAATTTTTGTAGCTTCTCAAACATATGAATTATTTGAAATTGAAGCTACCTTAAATTAGTATTTATCATTAGTATTAAATCAATCATTTAAACTTCTAGAAGGAACACACAAGTACCTGTACGATGTTCAAAAGTTGTGCAAAATGCAGACTCAAAGAGTATTCTAAAGACAAATGTCAGTAAATTAAAAAACTGTAATTAACTGTTACAAGTACAACTATTACAACTTTCAAACTTCGAGTATTATTTAAACGAAAATACTATAACTAATTCAAAATTGATAACCAATCTAAAAATTAAATGATACACTACAAACAAGAGCATACTATAAATTATTGAAGCAAACGCGAATCATTCGTTTAAAACGAAAAATTTATATCTGCCTAAATATTCGTTTCTAGTTTCGTTTCTGTTATTCTGTACTTTTACATTTACCAAAAATAAATATTCAATAATAACAATTTCCAGAGATTCTTTTCGAAATGTAAGAGCAAAATATCTTATGTGTGCGTATGTTCAATAATAATTAATTAAGTATAGTTACTTACAAACAGAAAAGGTTGCCAAAATGGCGAACGCAACGAGAAGGAAACGAGACATGTTACAGGTATGTTATGTTATTCGCAAGATGATATCGTTGAATCTAATGACACTTCAGGTCACGTATGCTTTTATATAGCCTAAATTGTCCTGTTTTTTATTTTTACATTTGGTATTGTATGCATTTGATTTATGTGATCACAAATTACATATCTGACGCGAGAGACCGAATAACAGACTAAAAACAGATTACTTGCATCTTATCAGCAGTACATCATCTGTACTAATATATTCCATCACCTTGATTTATTTATTATTTAATTAAGTTTCATTGTAGTAATTTTCTTATGTTTAACACGTAATTTACTAAGTAAATGAAACTGTTCTTTTCCCTGATTTTTATTTCATAGATTTTCTGTAAGAGTTAATCGTGAAAATATCAATAGATAATCGTGAAAAATTTTGCAATAAAATTCACGATGTTCCCTTTAAATAATCTTTTCGTTGCATATTCCCACAATTTGTCTATAATTAATAAAAATAACATTGCAATTTTGTAAAAAGAGAAACTTGTCTACAAAAAGTCATTTTGTAAAAAGAGAAGACAAAATACGAAACAAAAAACATAAATGATAATACCAATATTGATATTATAATTGACGTTATATAACATAATATAAACAATGTAACAAGTTGATTAAGATTTTGAAAATAATATTTTCAGTTTAATTATTCTCCTTGTATTTTAATAAGTCAAAAGTGTCATAGAATATATAAAAAAAATTTCCATATTTTTCAGACAAAAACATGTTTCCCATTATAAGTTTTTATTAGATCTTTGATTATTGCAAGATACTACGGTATTACACAGTATCCCGGCATATTGTTCTCTTTACAGAAGTTAATCCATTTATAAATTACTCGTAAAAAAATTGCAATCGTATTTTACTTGTCAATTTTTTCTCGGAAACTCTAAGCTTTATGTATTAATTTCGTGAGAAAATAACATAACTTTTCCTAGTGTCATTACTTTTAAATATTCGAAAATATATTTGATTTATCGTGACAGAAGTAGAATCCTGCTAATATAATATATTTTAATTGACAGCCTAAATAAAATAAGAATAATTATTTTCTTATCAATTTTATTTATATTCTAAGTTGAACTGAATTCATACCGGAATCATTCAAGAATCAATTACATTTAAAGAATATTATAATTTCATTTACAATAGTATTTTAATATTCACTTGTTAAGAACCTCACAAAACTAAATGCTGCAATACTACAAAATATTACAACATTGTAATTCCTTAATACCTTATAATAAATATTGAATCATTCTACTTTTATAAATTACTTTTGCAAAATAACTTCCACTTCTCTAAAATATTCTTTAACATTCCATTTCTAACCATTACTAAAAGAATTTAATAAAATTTAAATAGGAATTCGGCAAAGACTCTCAGGTATTAGAAGAATGCTTGAACAGCATTGTTGATTACATTTTCTCTGATTACACAGAGTTATCATGTTTAAACAATTTTTTTCTGTCAACCTGTATATTGTACGAAATTGCGACTAGCTGTTATTGATTTTTATAAAGCTCTTTTGTGACTACAACAGACGATTTCAAATTACCGTTTACATACGTGTTCTGTATGAACGTGTATGTAGTGATACGAGTTACAACTTTTACCATTTCATCCATCATCACGATAAAATAATTTACGATAGTATAGCTAGTAAGAATTTAATGGACAATAGAATACATTTGCTATTATTTAAAAATTGCTTCTTTTACGTTTCTAGAAATGAGGTCACCAGATGGAAACACGAATTCAAACTACCATTAACAAAATTAATATTGCACCAAACAGCTCCGAATCATTAATATCTGCGTTAGATGATAATTATAATTAAATTATAATTATAACCAGATGATAATTAATCTAACAATTATAACGTAAATGTTCAACGTTAATGATTATGTATAATTCAATAATTTAAATGTCTAATTAGCTGTGCGAATTTATGAATAGTTTCATTTAAGACGACAATATAGGTTTCCGATATTGGTAAATGAAAATACATGCTACTAGTCTAAGAGGTTTTGCTGGAGGGAAAATTAAACATTTTACTTATATCATTTCACTTGATATAATCACCAAGGAGCTTTATATTTCGAACAATTTATTTTTCGAAAATTTAACAACACTGTAATTGATTCTCAAAAATCATGTTGCTCACAGATTCATTAGTTCTCCAACTCGCCGTTGTTTAGACGTAGAGTGCGCTAAAAACCCAGTGATTTTTTAGTATGTCGGTATATTTCAGGTCACGGGCGACGAAAGTCCGTAAGATACAATGTTTATTCATATACCTCGTCGAACAAAATAATATAAGCTGGTTAAGTCACAGACGAGGTATATGAATAGATCAAGCATCTTAGAAGATTTCGTGATCCGTGATCTGAAATACCGACATGCTAAAAAAGCACTGGTTTTTAGCGCACTCTACGTTTAAATAACGGTGAATTGGGGAATTACATCAAGTAGATCGAAGTCGATTAAATAGTAAATGCACCAGAAATATGATTTTCGAAACCCATTACAGTGTTATCATTTGTTCACATTTTCAGTACCAAAATGTGAAGCTAGTACCTAATAAAAATCCTTTTACTATATGCCAGAAAGAGCTCTCTATATTTTACGGTATTACGATAATTTTTCTCCATATAGTAAATTAATGTTGTAAAGTCATAAATAAAATATTAAAGAACCTATGACCTCAAATAAATTTTATCAAAAGTTCGATATAATATGAGAGAAATTAAAGACAAGAAGAAAGAACAACCTTCTCATTTACAGATATAATCACTATAGAAGAAATAATTAATCTTAGACTTTCTAAAATATTTTTGTACGAAAAATAGACAAATTCGAATGGAATATTTTCCACATACCTACAAATTAGTTACCCATATGTCAAAATTACATATTATTTATTTTTCATTAATCTAATGGATATGTACACACAATGGATTCATACAAACAGCTAAATCGCAGCCAATCAATTCCTATTACTTCAGTCATTAACTTTTATAATGAGCATTCTGTTTCATAGAATTTTTTATATTTTAGTGTATTCTACGTGTAATCTTCTTTTATTGATATCAAAAAGATTTGTGAAATAAATTTAGCAACATATATTTAATTACCATTACATAGGACCCAAGGACCCCATTATCATTACCTCTAAATTCCATAGTCCATGTTATTCCCTCTTTCATCCATGCATTTGGAAGTTGATAAATCTGTAACAAACTTATTTGTTGGATTAGTAGTTTAAAAAAACTTAACACAAAAGTTCTACACCACTAAAACAGTCCCGATTTTTTTGAAAAAAAAAAGTAAATGAATAGCCAGAAGGGTTACTGTACAATTATCTATTTTATAAGCCCGAATATCTTGTTTCGCAACACTAATTCACTAGCACTAATTGAAATAAAAAATTTTCAAAATCCAACGCGAAGAGTGCTTCGTCATGTTTAAAACTCCCGAAAATAACTACGCGACGTTATTAATATATGCACTCAGGTTTAAAAATGCGCAACACTAATTGCAACGCGTCCAGTGCAACCATGCTGGAGGTTGCTGATGAATGATTACTTCTGTACAATTTTTGTAATTGCATCAGGTAATCCAGGAGCAGGAACAGCCTTCCACGAATTCAGTGGAAGAATTTGGGCATTTTGTAAACGCAACGCTACATCAAGAAACGTGATCATTCATTATCGCAACACTAAGAGCAAAAATAAAACTGGAAATCGCGGTGAAATAATGTCGCAACACTAACTCTAGAGCTAAATTCAATGAAAATTATTATTAACAATACAAAACTGTACGAACGAAAAGCTACTTCAAATACTCTAATACTCTAAAATTAATTAAAAGCAGTAACTCTATAATTTAATTCAAAACAATAGGAAGCAACAGAAATTTTATTATGTATAACTCTAAGACAGTTTTAAAAATTCACAATCGCGAAATCATAATTTGCAACTCTAAAACAAACGCGATTATCATTTTTTCGCAACTCTAATTTAAACAATAATCAATTTTTCGCAACACTAATAAACGGAAGCGAAACTATTTCGTAACTCTAATTCAACCCGTAATCGTTTTTTCGCAACACTAACAAGAAAAAACGCGATTTGCCCAAGACAAAGATAAACGATGATGTAGAAGAACACAACTACAAGTACTAAAAGAGCATAGTGACGAGAATGACTTCCCATGCTCTGGAATCATTTAAATGATTCAGAGGATGAGAAGCCATTTGTTGTGACCCTCTTCGTGGCAGTTTGCCGGGACTCTTCGGCTTTTAGCCTCTTCTTTCTTCGAGCGCAATGCCCGCTGAAACTTACGACTAGCTCGAGTCTTTCTAATCGCAATCTAAATCGCGAAAGCTGACCCTAATACACGTGGATGACTAACGATCACAATAATCGTTAAACGTTCGCACGTGCGTGCTCGAGCAATACCTACACAAACGTTCGTTTCGGGACCTATTCGCGACCTATCCACGACCACGACCGCGATGCTAAATTCGAAAAATCGAAGAGTAAAACCAGAAACAAATGGCATGCTCAATTTGTACCAATTTCACTGTCGATTTTTCAAATTTGATTTCCTGAAACAGGTTGGACACGCGAAAAAGGGACACGCGACCAGAGACTGTGCCAACCTGCCCGGCCCTACCTACTTATAATTAAACACAGGCACACCAGAAAGTAAACTACCTATCCTAACCAGACGCCCTATATTTAAAAAATGGCAAAACAGGCACACCAACACACTCATTCTCACGGTTCTCACACATATCACCCGGGCGCAGACCTAAACTAGAGAGGACGTCCCGGGACGCCTCCGACACCCGAGCTTAACATACAACATTCACACTCTAATTTACGTACCATTTTTCTGAAATCGACTGACAATGACTAGCGACCATTGCGTAAAACGTGGTTAAAACACGTTTACAGCTATACGTGAGATATTAATAACTAAGAAAAAATACATATTATTCTTACAA